TCCCACCGCAGCGCCCGCTGCTGCGCCTGCCGCCGCTGCTGCGGCTCCCGCCTCCGGCACGCCCGCTGCTGCAGCGCCTGCTGCTGCTGCTCCTGCTGCTGCTGCTGCTGCCACTGTGGGGTAGCTCAAAGCGCCCATGCAGAAATCGGAGACAGATGAAGCTTCGCTGCTGTCGGACTCTTCATCGACGGGGTCTAGGCCCTCCCTGCTTGAAATTTGGGTCCAGCTGGTCTCCTGCTGCTGCTGCTGCTGCGGCTGCTGCTGCTGCTCCTGCTGCTGCTGCGGCTGCTGCTCCTCTGCTGCAGTGTCCGCGGGCCTGGCAGAAATGTAGTTCTCCAAATTCGGAAGGTTTGAAAGCATCGCAATCAACTCACTCTTTTGGATATAACCGTCGTTGTTCAGGTCAAATACCTGCAGCAGCAGCAGCAGCAGCAGCGGCAGCAGCAGCAGTGTTGGGGGCGCGGGGACGCGAGGGCAACGAACGGCGGGGCCAGCAGCAACAGCAGCAGCGATGCAGCAGCAGCAGAAACGACAGCTAGAGCTTTCAAATGCACCCCGCAGCAGCTAAAAACGCGCCAGCACCCCTAAACCCTAAACCCTAAACCCTAAACCCTCACCTGGAACAGCACAAACATTCTGTCGCTTTTTGTGCCTCTGCAACAGACGGCGATGCCGATTAGAAACTCCTCCAAATCTACACTGCCAGTTCCTGCAAAGGCATAAACCCTAAACCCTAAACCCTAAACCCTAAACCCTAAACTTTGGCAGAAATTGAGGGCTTTAAACGCATCCCAAAACGGGCAGTTAGACGCAGACAAAGAAAAGAGAAAAGGCGAAGAGGCACGGAAGCAGCAGCAGCAATAACAGCAGCAGCAACTGGAGCAGCAGCGGCAGCAGCACATGCAGCAGCAGGGCTAAAAACTGCAGCAACACCAACTCCCCCAGTATCAACTGCAGCACAAGCAGCTGCAGCAGCGACAACTGCAGCACAGGCAACTGCAACTGCAACTACGGCAGCAGGAACTGCAGCAGCAACCTCTGTAGGGAGACAAACTGCAGCAGCAGCGACAGCAGCAGCAGCAGCAACTGCAGCAGCAGCAGCAGCATACCCTTGTAATCAAATTTTTGGAAAAGCCTCTCTCCCCAGAGACCTGGAAGGGGAAAGTAGCGGAGGAACGTCTCCTTGTCGATCCCTTGGCAGCAGCAGCAGCAGCAGCAGCAACAGCAGCACAAAGTTCAACAAATATCCACAGAAAACCATCGATAAGGCGCGTCAAAGCACCCAATCAGCAGCAGCAGCCAACTGCAGCAACCGCAGCACCTGGCAGCAGTAGCTGCAGCAACTGCAACAGCAGCAGCAGCAGCAGCAAAGGTAGCAGCAGTAACAAGAGGACCCTACTGAGCATCAGCAGCAGCAGCGCCACGGACACCCGCACAGGCTTAGGGGCAACAGCAGCAGCAGCAGGGATAACAGCATCACCAGCAACAGCAGCAGTAGTGACACCAGCAGCAGCAGCAGCAACCGCAGCAGCACCCGCACCCGCAGCATCGGTAACAACAGCAGCAGCAGCAGCAACAGCACCCCAACAAGCAGCAACGGCACCGGAAACAACAACAGCAACACCAACAACAGCAGCAGCACCAGCAGCAGCAGCACCACCAACAGCAGCAGCAGCGGCCACAGCAGCAGCACCACCACCAACAGCAGCAGCAGCAGCAGCAGCAGCAG